ATAGCATAAGTATTATGGTGGGTGAACAAATTACTGTCGAGCAATTGATAGAAAAGTGAATAATTATGAGATGATCTAGGCATGATCATGTATATAGGCATCACGTCCGTGATAAGTAGACCGACTCCTGCCTGCATCTACTACTATTACTCCACACATCGACCGCTTTCCAGCATGCATCTAGAGTATTAAGTTCATAAAGAACAGAGTAACGCATTAAGAAAGATGACATGATGTAGAGGGATAAACTCATGCAATATGATATAAACCCCTTCTTTTTATCCTTGATGGCAACAATACAATACGTGCCTTGCTGCCCCTGCTGTCACTGGGAAATGACACCGCAAGATTGAACCCAAAGCTAAGCACTTCTCCCATTGCAAGAAAGATCAATCTAGTAGGCCAAACCAAACTGATAATTCGAAGAGACTTGCAAATATAACTTAATCACACATAAAAGAATTCAGAGGAGATTCAAATATTTCTCATAGATAAACTTAATCATAAACCCACAATTCATCGGATCTCGACAAACACACCGCAAAAAGAGTTACATCGAATAGATCTCCAAGAAGATCGAGGAGAACATGGTATTGAGATCCAAAGAGAGAGAAGAAGCCATCTAGCTAATAACTATGGACCCGAAGGTCTGTGGTAAACTACTCACAACTCATCGGAGAGGCCTTTGAGATGATGTAGAGACCCTTCGTGATCGATTGCCCCTCCGGCGGAGCGCCGGCGAAGGCTCCAAGATGGGATCTTGCGGATATAGAAGTTTACGGCGGTGGAAATAGTTTTTCGTGGTCGCTTCTAATGTTTTCAGGGTACATAGGTATATATAGGAGGAAGAAGTAGGTCGGTGGACACCCAAGGGGCCCACGAGAAAGGGGGGTACGCCCAGTAGGGGGGGCGCCCTCCACCCTCGTGGCCTCCTCGATTGTTTCTTGACTTCCACTCCAAGTCCTCTGGATCACGTTTGTTCCAAAAAGATCGCTCCTGAAGGTTTCATTTCGTTTGGACTCCGTTTGATATTCCTTTTCTTCGAAACACTGAAATAGGAAAAAAACAGCAATACGGGCTGGGCCTCCAGTTAGTAGGTTAGTCCCAAAAATGATATAAATGTGTAATGTAAAGCCCATAAACATCCAAAACGGGTAATATAATAGCATGGAACAATCAAAAATTATAGATACGTTGGAGACGTATCAGCGTGGTGACCTCCATGTTAGGCCTAGGTAGGGCTGCGACGTGTTGATCTCCCGAGGCCGGACATGACCCAGGAAAGTGCGCCCGGCCAGAGGGATCGAGCATGTCGGGTAATGTGGTGCACCCCTGTAGGGAACTTGATCTATTCGAATAGCCGTGTCCACGGTAACAGGACGACCCGGAGTTGTACTTCGACCTTATGACAACTAGAATCGGATACTTAATAAACACACCGAGACAAGTTCTAGAGACAACCTGGTGATCGCTTTCCCACAGGGCGACGAGGGGGGGATCGCCGGGTAGGATTATGCTATGCGATGATACTTGGTGAACTTACCATCTACTCTCTTCTACATGTTGCAAGATGGAGGCTGCCAGAAGCATAGTCTTCGTAGGACTAGGTATCCCCTTCTTATTCTGGCGTTCTGCAGTTCAGTCCACCGATATTGCCCCTTTACACAGATACCAATGCATATGTAGTGTAGATCCTTGCTTGCGAGTACTTTGGATGAGTACTCACGGTTGCTTTGCTCCCTCTTTTCCCCCTTTTCCTCTTCTTCCCAGACGTCGCAACCAGATGCTGGAGCCCAGGAGCCAGACTCCACTGTCGACGACGACCCCTACTACACCGAGGATGCCTACTACTACATTCAGGATGCTGACGACCAGGAGTAGTTTAGGAGGATCCCAGGCAGGAGGCATGCGCCTCTTTCGATCTGTATCCCAGTTTGTTCTAGCCATCTTATGGCACCTTGTTTAACTTTATGTCTGTACTCAGATATTGTTGCTTCCGCTGACTCATTTATGTTCGAGCACTTGTATTCGAGCCCTCGAGGCCCCTGGCTTGTAATATGATGCTTGTATGACTTATTTTACTTTTAGAGTTGTGTTGTGATATCTTCCCGTGAGTCCCTGATCTTGATCGTACACATTTCTGTGCATGATTAGTGTATGATTGAATCAGGGGTGTCACATGTGTAGACCCTACATGTTCGGGAATGATGCAGACATGACAAAGATGCCTCTTCGGCCAATAACCAATAGCGGTATCTGGATACCCATATTGGCTCCCACATGTTCCATGATGATCTGATCGGATGAACCACGATGTCTGGGATTCAATCAATCCCGTATACAATTCCCTTTGTCCATCGATATGTTACTTGCCCGAAATTTGATCGTGGGTATCCCTATACCTTGTTCAATCTCGTTACCGGCAAGTCTCTTTACTTGTTCCGTAACACATGATCCCGTGGATAACTCATTAGTCACATTGAGCTCATTATGATGATGCATTACCGAGTGGGCCCAGAGATACCTCTTCATCATATGGAGTGACAAATCCCAGTCTCGATTCGTGCCAACACAACAAACACTTTCGGAGATACTTCTAGTGCACCTTTATAGCCACCCAGTTACGTTGTGACGTTTGATACACCCAAAGCATTCCTATAGTATCCGGGAGTTGCACAATCTCATGGTCTAAGAAAATGATACTTGACATTAGAAAAGCTCTAGCAAACGAACTACGCAATCTTGTGCTATGCTTAGGATTGGGTCTTGTCCATCACATAATTCTCCTAATGATGTGATCCCGTTATCAACAACATCCAATGTCCATGGTCAAAAAACCACAACCAGCTATTGATCAACGAGCTAGTCAACTAGAGGTTCACTAGGGACATGTTGTAGTCTATGCATTCACACATGTATTACGGTTTTCGGTTAATACAATTATAGCGTGAACAAAGAAATATAATAATAACTATTTTATTATTGCCTCTAGAGCATATTTCCAATAGCTGGAGCAACTTCAAAATTATTGTTGGATTCTAAGTTTCCAACCAACGGGCCGCCCTGAATTCATTCCTGTTAAAGGGGAATGCATTAACCTACTAGTATTAAATTAAAATGTTTCTACCATGACACTAATACAAAAATAAACAACCTTTTCTCCGAACTAGGGTCTCGTCGTTGGGTTTTGTTAAATACACGGCATCAACAATAACCATGCGTGTTCGCATATATCTTCTAGAAAAGTTGTTCTGGAAAGCCTCACAAGTTTCTCGATCACAAACAAAACTTTTCCTTACACTCTATATATTTCTCCTTTTTATACGAAAAGACTCTAGTGTCATTATCTTTTTGTTGCGATCCTAATACATACATACAAAAAGGGAAGAAAAGTAGGAATAAAAAAATTCAGTACAAAACTCTAAGTCAGGTGACAAGTGTTTGTGCGTGCATGCTAACATGCTCTTCTGTCTCTGAGCTGGCAAAATAACTGGTTCGCATTAGTGATTGAAAAAGGTTTGGAAAATTAATTTACTATGATTAATTTGATTCATGTCAGGAGCGGTAGAGTATCTTTGAATTTATTGTTTGATTCTCACTAACAGGCCGCTATCAATTCATTCCTATCAAGGGAAACACATTAACCTACTCATGAAGGTACCCTCATATCAAATCAAATGTTTCACTATGAATAATATGAAAAGAATCAACCTTTCTATGAGGTAGGATCTCACTGCCTTTATGTGAAAGTACATGTCATCCATAACAACCACACTTGTTCGTGTATTTCTTCTAGAAAAGTTGTTCTGGGACACCTCATAAGTTTCTCGGTCACAAGAAACCCTTCCTTATACTCTTCAATGTATATTTCTCCTTTCTACGAAAAGACTCTAGCAACTTTTTGTTGCGATGCTAATACAGGTGACAAAAAGGATAAGAAAAGCATGAATAAAAAAAGGACTATGGCTCAAAGCTCCAAGTCAGGTGACAAGTGTTTGTGCATGCACGAGCCATGCTCTCCTGTCTCTGAGCTGGAAAAAATGGCTCCAAATGCCTATTAGTAACTGAAGAAAAGCATGGAAACTTTTGCGGATTTTGTTTTCTTGAGAGTAAAACATTTTTTGACTTTGGAAAAAAAATTCGGTTCAGACCTCGAAGTCAGGTGACAAGTGTTTGTGCATGCACGAGCCATGCTCTTCTGTCTCTGAGCTGGAAAAATAAATTTTTCTAAATGCTGATTAGTAACTGAAAAAAGAAGGCTCGGATGCTTCTGTAGATTTGTTTTTAAGAATGTAAATTTTGTTCTTTGAGAATAAACTTTTGCTGATTCATACTAGTTGGTTAGCCCTTAATCCAGCACCCAAAGAAAAGAAAAGAAAAGAAAATGAAAGCCGCTTTGAGACGGGCGCAAGGCCACACGAGGCGGGGCCTTGAAACCGTGCAAGGGAGGCTCCTCGCCTCTAGTTTCGTGGCATTCGATGCATGGATGCTGCACTAACCTTGAGGCAAAACAGTAAAATGATAGAGCCATCAAATCAAAGAAAAAGAATTCACAATCTTTCTGGTACTAGTACTACTACAGATCTCGGCCGTCCGTAATTCATGCATTCATGCGGATCCGACGCCCGGGCAGCCGGTGTGACACGTCACCTGGTGTGCTAGAATGTTCGTATACTTCCAGGCACCCAAATACAATGTGCACCGAAAAAAAAACAGAGATGGAGTGAGCGAGAAAAAGCAAGGAAGCAGCACCAAAACGAGAAGAAAAGAAATCCCAGGGATAGAGATGCCAAATCATTTCCATGCGGATCTCGCCATCGCAGCCCCTCCCTCGCGGTGCCCACCCGCTACTTAAGGCGAGCGAGTGAGGCCACCCCCTCCACCCCACTGCCAGTCTTGTAGCGAGCGACACACCCACAGGGAGCCGCAGAGAGCCACCACCACCCAACACCACCAGAGAAGCAGGGCCGCGGGAGCGGGACAGAGGAGGAACGCACGCCATGGGCGAGGTAAGGAAGGACGCTTGCTTGCTACTGCATTCCTCTGCTGCTGCTGCTGCGGCGGCGGCGGCGCAGATTGAATCTTGACTGACTGACTGACGCCCGTCGTGGTGTGGTGTTTTGGTTCGCAGGAGGAGAAGAAGCCCAAGGAGGAGGAGAAGCCCAAGGAGGAGGAGCCGAAGAAGGAGGAGAAGCCCAAGGAGGGGGAGGAGGACAAGCCCAAGGACGACAAGCCCAAGGAGGGGGAAGGGGAGGGGGAGAAGCCCAAGGAGGAGGAGGCGGCGCCCCCGCCGCCGCCGCCGCCGCCGGAGGAGGTCGTGATGCGCGTCTACATGCACTGCGAGGGCTGCGCCAGGAAGGTCAAGAAAATCCTCAAGAGATTCGATGGTAATGCGCCTCATCTATTCTAATTAATCCCTGCTCTCTAATTTCCTCTGCTTTGCTTTGCTGCATCAGGATTCGCCGTCAGAGTAAATCTTTTCGTTTTCGTTTCGTTTTGAACTAGTAGTACGCTGTCACGTGGATTTTGTTTCCCTAGTACAGGAACATTTTTACCGAGTTCGTTCGACATTTTCTTCGCGAGTGTTCCGTGGTCCTAGGTAGTGCGTGTTTAGTGCATCTTGATTCACGTATCATCATGGTTAGTGGTAGACTTGTGTTCCCCTTGCGGTTATGGGAAGCAAGCTAAAAGTGAATCTGTTTGTTTGTTCATCAGATTTAAGAGACATGATGATGTGGTTGGCTTCCTCTAATCTTTTTTTTAGTCTTCCTCCTTATGTCCTTATATTAAAAAAGGGCTCCAGATTTTGTGTTTTTCTCTGTGCTGTTCTGACGTCCAATTAAGAGTTATTGTAAGGTTGTTCTGGGTGCAATTCATAGTGGACTATAGGTCAGTAGGGGTGGGCTAAGCTTTTAAATAAACAGATTCACCTAATTAATAAGATCCTCTTGTCCTAAAAATAAAATAAAATAAATAAGATCCTCCTTTCTCATGAGACGCACATGAATCTAGTGGTTGATTAATTGTGATGGGAATGACTTTTCACTCCAAAAGGTTGGAGTACATTCCAAGAGAATGACAACCTTGAGTATACAATGCCCTTGAGGCCACAGGTCCTCAAAAGTTAAGCTGATTCCTCAATCATCTCCAAATACTGCTCAAAATGTTCCAAGCATCTCTGCATATTCTCCATGCACTACTTGTTGCTATCAAGGGAAAATTAAAGTTTCTTTGGCTCAAAGATCCATTCTCTGTTCTACCTAGTACCTCATCTGAAAACCTTTTTGTGTGGATTCAGGAGTAGAGGACGTCATTGCCGACTCTAAGGCGCACAAGGTGGTTGTGAAGGGAAAGAAGGCGGCCGCCGACCCGATGAAGGTGGTGGAGCGTGTTCAGAAGAAGACCGGCCGCAAGGTGGAGCTCCTCTCGCCTTTACCCCCGCCGCCGGAGGAGAAGAAGGAAGAGGAGAAGGAGGAACCTGAGCCGCCGAAACCTGAAGAGAAGAAGGAGGTGAAGGACCTTAACGAATGCACGCAATGCAGTACTCCTACTAGTTTGTATGTTAATTTCAGTTTTACTTCAGATTTGGCTAAACTGACTGAATGATGTTTGGTTTTGAAGCCAACGGTGATCTCCGTGGTGCTGAAGGTGCACATGCACTGCGAGGCCTGCGCGCAGGCGATAAAGAAGAGGATCGAAAAGATGAAAGGTGCGTAATGGGCTGCTGTGGGATTACCTGCCCTTTTTTCATTTCTCTCTCGCGTCATTTTCGTCAGGACAGAAACATCTATGGCCTTTCTCTTACTAGTATTTATTTTCACTAGCTCCTCCTAGAATTAGTTTACTACTATGTGTCATGTTTAGAATCTACCTAGTGATTCAGCAAAGGTCAAGCAAATCTTTCCTCTGATGCAATGATGAAAAAAGAGGGATTCCTCTTTAGGTCGATGGCTGAAACAAAGCCAAAATGTGGGCCTTGTACGTGTAGCTCCTTTTCTTGCAAAAGATGCACAACTGTGTGCAGATAAGATTCACTCCTTCACCTACCTGTCTGGCTATATAGTGTGACAATATTAATCTGGATCGTATAAGAATTTTTTCTGCCTAAAATCACACTAGATAGATCATCCTCGAGCTCGGTGATACTTTGTTATGTAGGAGTAGTAGTATTGCTGAAGATTTTGGTTCGAAATTATGCAGGAGTGCAATCTGCAGACCCAGACCTGAAGGCGTCGGAAGTGACGGTGAAGGGCGTGTTTGAGGAGGTCAAGCTGGCCGAGTACGTGCACAAGCGCACCGGCAGGCATGCGGCCATTATCAAGTCCGAGCCGGTTGCCCCGGCCGAGAAAGCCGGCGAAGGAGACGCCAAGGATGAGAAGAAGGCAGCCGAAGGCGGCGAAGAGAAGAAGGACGACAAGGAGGAGAAGAAGGACGACAAGGATGGCGCCGCAGACGAGAAGAAAGAGGAGAAAGACAAGGAGGATGGAGGCGCCGGCGGCGAGGAGAAGGAGAAGGAGAAAGACCCCGGCGCCATCGCCGCAGCCAACCTCTACATGCATTACCCGCAGTTCGCCTTCCCGGGAGGGTACTACCCGCCGAGGCTGGGTTACGCCGCCTACCCTCCGCCGCCGGCCTACCCGCCGTACCCGCCGCAGATCTTCAGCGACGAGAACCCGAACGCCTGCTCCGTCATGTAAAAAGGAGGTTAGAACCTTGGTGGTCTAGAGTGGAAAACAAATAAGAAGGGGAGAAGGGACTGCATGAGTTGAGGGGTGCCATGGCAGCAAAAATGCCCTCGAGCAAAGCAAATGGCAGCAGCTTGAAGAAAGTACCAGGCTTTTTTGCGGTCAGGTTTCCCTTTTTTTGAACCTTTTATGTTTTTACCGTCTGGTATAAAGTAAGTCTGGACTTCCTTGTCAGTTGATGGATGTTTTCATCTTATGTAGATTTTTCTTTTTGCCTTGTACTGAACTTATGTAAAAACTGTTATTATAGTATAGTAATTCTCTCCATCTCCTTGGCTGTGTGCTGGTGCCCGGCCCTAAACATCTAGGACCCGGAGGAACAGTCGCTCTGTCAAAAAACTGTGGTGGTGAGAAGGAGAAGTCACAGGGGGTGGGGTAAATGAAATGGAATGGCAACGGTGAGATGCAAGAGGAGGTAGGAAACAAGTGGTTGTCATGTGCATGGGGCATGTGAGATGGGTCCCACTTTTGCATGACACAAAATCCTAGGCGGATTGCAGCTTCAATCTTGATGCGCCCACTTTTTTTACCCGGTAGCCCACTAGCTGATGATATCCAGGGGCTACAGACTTTGGAGTTTGCTGTGAATGTGAGGGAATACTTTCCCATCATCATTCTGTGACTTGAGGTTGCTTGCTTCCCTTGCAAAATACTCCCTCCGTTCGGAATTACTTGTCGCAGAAATATATGTATCTAGACGTATTTTAGTTCTATATACATCCATATTCGAGACAAGTAATTCCGAACGGAGGGAGTATGATGGTTTTGCCTACGTCCCTGACTGCCCTGCGATTCCTTTCTACTCCTGCCGTGTGGCTTGTGATACTTTGTATTTTACTTATTTTAATGCAAAAAATTTCCGTAAAACCTCAATGGTAATTATTATTATTATTATTATACAGGGGCCTGTTTGAAAGGTACTCGTATTAGTTTATTTGATTGATTGCATGCATCAGTTTTGTACGGTATTCGAAGTAGGCCGTTGTTTCAAAATGTAGAAGGCTTCTACCATCATCCTTAGACTCACCGTGGGTTAGCATCCACAAGTTTTTAGTATAAAGTCTGGATTTCGTTGTCAGACAAGATTCCAATAGTTGATGTTTCCAAAATTGCGGGGAGTATGGTACAGAATGGGGCTTGATGGGGCGCTTTGTTTCATTAACCTTGCTACCCTCTCTCACATCCCTCCCGTCCCTCCCCCGTGCGGCAGCGCCGCCCCGCACCGGGGAGCCCCCGCCCTCCTCCTACAGCCTCCTCCCTCCTCCCCTCCCCTCCGCCGCCGTCGTCCGGGGCGTCACAGGGTAAAGCCCTTGTGGCGTGGCGGCGATGGCGGTTTCTCCTCGGATCTCGATCTGGTTGGGAGG